CGTAATTTTTGTTGTTGATAGCAGAACAAGTGTTCAAGTTGTCTTCGTCCCACGAGCCATTTTGTGGACCACTCGCTTTTTGGAAGAGCACTCTATACATGTGAAACAGAATGCTGTAGTCGCCTACCGGGGATAAATTTTCCTATGCTTGACGCCGAGCTCAGACCGTGTGTAGTACTCAGGAATACGCAAGAACTAATCTTCAAATAACTTGCCTGTGGGATTCATCGTCTAAAGCTGTTAGTTGACCTAATATTTCACACGAATTATGGAAAGGTTATGAAAACTTGTTACCCGAATTGTCGTGAATTCAATGGCCACAACCCACCGTATTTTAAATAAATGGTTCCTCAACTAAAAGTCACTCGCAGCACGACGGTTTTGCAAACTTACGATTTTGATTGTGTAGAAATCGTGTGCTGCGTCAATGTGTTTTTCCACTGGATTAATAATTGCAACTTCAAACGTGGTTTAACCGAAGGTGTATTTTTAGGGGGTATTGTACTTTGACATTCGATTCCAGTGTGCGTCCGTCGCATCTCAGTCATTTACTGTTAATCATCCACTGGCTTCTTGCTTACTCTTCATTAACCAGGTAGCATCTCGTCCCCTTCTAGCTGTAGTTATTCGCCAAAAAGTGGTCACAGTTGATCCGGTCCATTAACGCCACAGGACGCGACTGTACAGAATACAGTCCACTTACTGTTATCTGTGCGTTTCAAGATAAAGAATTTGCTGGATAACACGTTTACCAACAGTTGTCGACTATTTCTAGTTTTCCCTCAAGCGTTTTTTCTTGCAATTCGTTTAGATCCACAAGAAAGTACCTTTTTGGAGAGCTGTGGTGTTGCTGATCTGATCACAACGTGTTATGGAGGTCGAAATAAACGCATGGGTTATGCACTGGCCACAACAAATGAACCTCTGGATGAACTGGAGCGGGAACAATTGGGGGGTCAAAGTGCTCAAGGTCCATTAACGGCATACGAGGTATACAACATGCTGAAGTCGCGTGACCTGCTTTCCAAATACCCATTGTTCACTGCTGTCCATAGAATTTGCACACGCGAAATGCCGGCCAGCGAGTTTCTCAGTTGTTTGGCAAACCATCCGGAACACCGATGAACTCAAGAACTGTTCTTGTAGAACCGAGTTTCTCCATGGCTCAATCGTCTTGCACGCCTTCATCAGGATCTTCTTCGTCGATAACGCTAGCATCCTATTTTTGTTTTACACACCCGAAGGAAACATGTAACACTAGTCGATTTGTTGATACGCTCGACCTTTTACCGAGCACCGAACCTTACGCCTGAACATTTGATGATTTGGTCAGCATTGGTAGTTTTTTCTGACATGCATTCGGTAGATCCGTTGTTATTCTATTCATAAGAGAGAAGTAAATTGTATCCTCTCCTGATTTGTGTATAAGTACGATTTCCAAGATTCCCGCGATCCTTTGACAGTGTATGCGTTCAGCTGTCCATTTCTTACCGGGATTCTGACGGGGGCATACTGGAAATCCAAGGCCTCAGGAAATCAGTCACATTCGGTTCCACCATAACAAGACGGTGTAAAGTTTATGGTGAACCGAAACTTTTTATGTTGGGCTTTGGACAAGTAAAAAAACTCATCCACCTGCACCAAACTGAATTGTTCACATCTCGCCAATCCGAACGCGGACTGCTGAATCGTCTGCAACCTCCTTTGGTCGCCACTGGGTGTTGGCTACTGTCCCTCTAATTCATGAATAAGACAGATGCACAAACTTATGGTAGCACGATTGTCGGTCGAAACTTAGTCGCTGCGACAACACGATAACTAACGGGTTCGTTGCCGTGATTAATGTCTCGAAGCATACGTGAACTTCATGTCTGTCTTGTTCGGTTCCGTTGAGTCTCCGTAGACATGCTTTTTGCTGTTCGTCGTATACTGATAGGTCTGATGATCAGGGACTAGGAACTCGCTAACGGCTTTCTTGCGTACAGAACACCCAGTGGGGAGCCAGTTGAAAGAATAAATCGTATTTCTTTGTTTGTAGGAACCGCGTCGTCTCAATATGTTTTATTCGGCTAAACCAGGGACCGTCTGCCGATATTCAGTCTGAGGGAACTTCGTTAAATATTCTACCATCCAATCCTTACTGAACTAGAGTGAGAAGAGGCTGGTTAGTGGTTTTTTATTTTGTTTAAGTTCGCATCCACTATGTACAAACGATAAGTGGGGGTCCTCTAGTCGTGTGTCATGATCTGTTAGCGTGTGTTACCCTTGGCAGTGTAGCAGCTGTGACTTCAGCTTCAATCCACACCTCTCCTATCTTTGACCTCATCTGACCCTGTCGTGTGAAGCCTTTTCGCACGGGCCGTAAGGCAGCTGTTGATGTTAACGGCAAGCCGCCTAAGTCAAAGCCACAGGTGACTCATACTGTTTTCAAGGTGGTCTCTCAGGAGACAGTTGTGAAGACCGCATTTTACACTCCAATTGACGAAATTTCTGTATGATTCATTTGGACAACAGAAGACGCTTATCTCAAACAGTTATCAGTCGATTGTTGAGGAAAAGGTCACAGTTCAGTCACCCTTAATTGTCTCAAACACTTCATGGCTGTGTGGTTTTCGCTCATTGTGCACATACACCCTTGTGTGCACCCAGCAAAATAAGTTTTATCAGGATTGGCAGCAACAAGCGGCCATTTTTACCTCATATCTTCACTGCGATACTGGGTTCTTCCCAACCAAGAATGCTTGGTGAACATCTTTCAACACTCCGAACAAGATTTTCTCAAGATTCGTCGTGGGCAGGCATAGTAAATGTGTTCCTCTTTACCACGGGTCAGTGTAAATTTGAATGCGAAAGTACAACTAAACATAATGGAAAAAAGGAGCTTGGGTGTTATTGTTCCGTCTAGTGAAACGATCACTTCTTCGGTGGGTCACCAAAATCATCACTGCAGAATACTCTAATGTTAATTGGTTTACTATCAGTAGTAGATGTGCCAGAAATTACATATATAGTTCGTCTCTGCGCCTGGAATTTATATTTTTGTCTAGATTATGGGCACTTGAGTTCTTAATTTGACCTAACAAAACCCCCCTTCCACCTCAGTTCAAACTGATACGGTCTGAATAGCTGAACGATATCAACGTCTGGCTCATCGTAGAAACCACACAAGAGTTTATTCAGAGCACTCTCAAACGTTTTCAGCTTGACTGGTTTCTTGTCTCCAACCTTAGTTTCGTGTACTGCGTGATCTCGGCTGGTGCTCAGCTGCGTTTGTGACCAGGAAACATGTGGGTCTATCTGGATAAATCCCTCGAATCCTCTCTCCATCTTGGCGTTTCGTTGTCACTCGTTTGTGAATGTATCATTGCTTGTATTTTTGGTTAAGCACGGCACGCAAGACTTCTGACGCGGTCCATATTGAAAGACATGAAAATGAGAAGGCGTGCTAAAGTGAACTGCTTATCAGTATCAGTCACAAGCGTATCTGAGATTCCGAACTTAATGAACAACACACTGCTTAAACACGAATTTGTGGTGGCCGCAGAAACCATGCACGGTGGGATCACTTACGTCGCGTGAAATAGGCATCCAAGAAGCTGAGACACTGTTGGCAGTGGATCTGCCCGGCAATATCCGCATTAATTATTTTCCAGAATCTTGTGAACCAGACCTTTCTGAATGGTATTCACAATTTCTGGCCAATACGACAAATCGCCTCCTGGAGCTCTCATACGCATTGTGCCGGGAAGAGAAAAACACCGTATTTGTGCAACACGATTTCTCAGAGTACGACCTGACAGCATGAAACAACTGTCCACCACTGTCGCTTTATCATGCCGTCTGAAGTATGATATGTAATCTGAACATTGGTCTTGTTGGCTATTAGTGAAAAGACAATGTTGAGAGCGGCGTTTTCTTGTGACTCAACATTTCTATCGTCTTTAGTAACCTTTATCAGAAGCATAGTACATCCAGGTTCGTCACATGTCTCACCCAATGAACCACTCAACAAGCATGACACTTTAGGATCTGTGACCTAATAATATGTATTTTTCAGTAGAGTATTAAAGCAAGCCCTGAAATGGACCGCTGATAACTCGACCCACACGGTTCAGAGCCACTAAACTGCTGAACGTGACTGCCCTCAGCGATTAGTTAACCAAACCATAGAAAAACGCGTTATCAGTGTCTGATAAGGCTGTTGTAAAATGACTCATTTGCTTGATAAATGCCGCGCAAGTACGCAGCAACACCGACACAATATAAGCTACTGGCTCATCAGAGGTCATTCACATGACCAAAGGTCAACAAGATTACAACGAAAACAGCAACTCGGGTTTCTTCGTCGGTGAACAGGATTACCTGACGAATCAGTCGAAGAAGGAGTGGTTCTGGACTAATTGCAGCTTAACCTGCCGATCGGTTTTGTCTTCACAGTGTCTTGATTTCCCCCGTACATAAAGAGTCGTTTGACGGTCTCTCAGCAGGCGAATATCCTGTCAAGCTCAGGGGCTTCTGAGGTTCGTTTCTGGATGCGTATCATTATAACTCGTAGGAAACTGCTCAATAACACGTGGAGAATGTTACAGCGCCAAAAAACCTTGAATCGAAGTCTATCGGAATTTCAACGGTGTCGACCATGCTACATTAAAATTACTCACGAGAGCGAGACTATTTCACGATTGGGTCCCCCTCGGCAGATAGTGTTATGTGCCATGAAGTAATACAACCTGTTGCAAGGGTTGGCGTTACAGCATCTGGGACATCACAACGATTGTTCTGATGTTTAATAGGGGAGAGGCGTAGTCCGAACGTGCTTATTACTGGCATCTGTGCTGAAATTTGTACTTAGCTATGTGTAGGGTGAAAGAACGTGTCATAACAAGACAGTGGTGATTTCCGTAAAAATATACACATGTTTTAAGCCAACTGTAACAAAGAGGATGTAATCGAACCTGATGAAACCGCACATGGGGTTGCTGGTAGGTATAAACTGGCACAGATCAACCAAGTCTTCCACACTGTGTAGGTTGGAAAAATAGCATTTCCTGTAATAGGTGAGCGCCAATCCCCAAGGGCGCTAAACAACACCATCTTGCGTATGCGAGATCTCATAGAGCGCTTTAAAACACTTCCTCTGTTTCAGAGTGGTGAGGTGAACATGAAGATATCAATCTCCACCAACCTCGGAACTTAGTCACTTGGCCTGATGAAGCTTTTGTGTCAAAAGCGAAACGTTGCCCAGCAATAAATTTACCGATTGTCACCAAACTTTTTCGAAAACGAGGAATATTGTTTTTTTTTACCATGGCTCTTCGCATCAAGCACGGAACGGATTTTCCAGTGCCCAGTTAAGATACGTCGTCTGCAGGCTGCACATCCAGCTGGTTAAGGAGGATGCCAACAGACTCTTCAAGCGTGACATTTTGCTCGACTTCGTAATCGGCCACATAGACAACGAGGTTAATGGGGATTTGTTGTACCGCGTGAATGTCCTAAAAGCAGTGCCTTTAACCCAAAAGAGTAGACCACAGTCCATTCCGCTTTCGTTAAAGAGAGAGTTGTGGCGCACAATTTGCATGAAGAGGTAAATCGGCTTCCTACTGCAAGGATTGCTGAGCCAACTGGAGTGTGTAAAATGGTTTCAGGTGACCGCAGTTGCGGAATTATTGTGCGAAACCCATGGACGTAATCAAACAAGCAGTTTATTCCACCGACTACCTTCGGTGCCTGACTAGTCGTTTTCGCACATTCCGTTTCGCTCAAGTCCGATCCCACGAGTATTGTACATATGATCAATCCCTATAAAACTCGTCCACTTCCACAGACTTTTAAACAAAATGCGGGAACTTCGGGCAAATCTCCGTGTGTCATCTGTTAACGTGCCCCATTCGCGTCAGATAATATCATGGTCAAGTGCTGTCCACTATGAGCAATGACAATGATATGCACGAGGTGGGTTCACTTAATCGTGGTCGCGCGCGACAAGCTTAATTGTCCAGTAAGATGGCTGATTTAGGAAGCACTGTAGTGGTTATGAATATACGAACAACTAGCAACTCGGTAAGCATACTTGGAAGGTTACCAAAGTTAGGGCCAAAGTCTGGTATACGAATACCACCAGATTTTTCTGTGTATCAGTTAGCTAAGTCGCTAAGTCCAGTGGTCTGGCTCTGATTACTTGTTATGGGGGAACGTTGATATTTTACTGCAGGAAAGCTGGCATCCGTCTCAAGATATGCTTGCTTCATCATCCAACTAAAATTTTAGTTATGGCAAGTTAACACCGCATGTTGTTTTGCGCAAAATAGTGTGTGAAACAGTCTGTCTTCTTAAACTAGAAGGTATAAGAAAGGGGACAAGAAAGAAGGAAAACGTTTACAGTACACGTCACATTTAACCGGTAGACTGTTATTGGAGTGCACAGCGCATACACTTGATAGACAGGTGA